TTTCTTTACTTAAATTTCTTTACTCCTGCAACAAGAGCAAGCACTTCCTTATCTATCTGTGCATAATTTATCTCAGTCACTGATAAATTATGCAGAGATTGATAAGGAAGTGCTTGCTCTTGTTGCAGGAGTAAAGAAATGTCAAGATTATGTGTATGGCCGGCGATTTGAAATTGTTATGGACCACAAACCATGGTTAGGAATTTTTGCCTCAGATTGACAGACGCCTCAAGTATTGTCTCTCCGGATGCTGCATTGGTCTGTGTTTCTTGCAACATATGATTATGTGTTATGTCACTGTCCAACAAAAGCATTGGGACCTGCTGATGCCCTTAGTCGATTACCGCTGGCAAGTATAGAGGCAGATCCTGCTCCTGCTTATGGTATTATGTTGATAGAGGATTCACCCCAACCACCACTTCATGCTTCAGATGTAGTTTGTCATACAAGTAGGGACCCAATATTATTTAGAGTTTTGTTGATGATACTCAATTGTTTGATCTCTTTATTGAAATTTCTTTGACTTCATAGATAATACAAATGAACTATAATGCATAGGAAATTGTAGAATTATTCACCTCAGGTTTTGAAGACAAATGTATCAACAAATGCTAAAATACTTCATTGCATACATCACAAAAACAGAAACAATAATATTGTGGCACCTTTAATAAGACCAAGATCTGTTTTGATGAGAGCTTTTGTGGATTACAGCCTTCCTCTTCACAACATTTTATAAAATCATAGCCCTAATTATATTAATTTGCTGCTTAGTTTCAGCAGCAGAATGCATGGACAGATTCTTTGCAAGTTAGGCTAAATATGGCTCAAAGGTAGTTTAGTTTTCACTAATAACATACTCATGGAACACTTCTGTAAAATACTAACAATCTTTACTTTTTAAACAAAGATGAGCTATGGAAGCTTACGTGCAAAGTGTGGTTGCAGAGTATATTGATACTTCTATACAGAAAGCCAGAAGAGAGTTGTCTTTTGTAATCTTTTACTTGAATGCAGTGCTGTCATTTCTGTGAGCTATAAATGTACTTTCCTTCTTTTAGCATAACATTGCTTTTGTTCTACCCAAGTGTTACTTAAATGCAGACATGGTCATTGTCAGGAATACGTATCTAGAAGTTAAATCATGTCAACTAGACTTTTTTCTTACAGTATTAGGTTGAAAGGTTTGGCTACTCATTCAAGTAGCTTCTTCAGTCTGAGCAGAGTTGGTAGGAGAGCTCTGATATCTCCTCATTGGTTTCACTTCCCCCTGGTCTGAATAGCCTGGTTAGATGGACAAAGGACTGGGGATGAGTGAAATGTGAAGAATTTCCCTAACCTAATGAGAGAAGATGGGTTGCTGCCTCTACCTAAGGAAACAGATAAGTTTGGAGCAGGTGAGAAGAAAAGGGGATGGAAACGGGGAGCGGGTTCGATTGCCCCACCATCAGAGGACTGTGGGACCCTTGGTGGAGCCAGCCCTTTCCTGCCCAGGCTGGAGGGTTCTGTCGTGATACATCCATGCTGCAGGACAACCTGCGCGGTGCTGAGTGCGCCGTCATGAACCAAAATGTAACCTCCCGCTTTGGGATGAAGAAACTGTAAAAGTTAAAGATGTGGGAACTGGGACTAAACCCAAGAGGTATAATTAGTTAACTGATGAAGACTTGTTAAAGTTAATAAAGCAAAACCTTTTGGAACCATGACGTCTACCCCGGCTGTCATTCCCGCCGAATCCCTAGGCCCGCCTACTTTAGACAAAGAACCCAATCACACCTTCTCTCAGAAAATTGTTGCAGTTGCAAATGTTTTGAAACATGTTCATTTCTTTGGTTTGCGTTGGAACAGCACAAAAAAAAATACAGAGAAGAAAAGTCAAATCTGATACAATCCCACACAGAAATCCAAAATGCCCTGGCCAAAATTATTGGCACCCTTAACTTATTATTTGGTTGCACCGCCTTTGGAAAAAATAACTGAAATCAATTGCTTCCTGTAACTGTGAGTGACCTCTGGTGGAGATGCAGTTTTCTGACACTGGCCACTACATTGCACCCCAAAATTCTTTGGTAATCAGCAAATTTCATTGAACCTCCACCATGTTTGACTCTAGGGACTGTGTTGTTTTCTTTGAATGCCTCATTTCTTTTTCTATAAATACTGCCATGATGTCCTTTACCAAAAAGCTCTACTTTTGTCTCATCTGTCCACAGTATGTTCTCCCATAAGGATTGTGGTTTTGTCACAAAAGTTTTGGCATACTATGGTCTTGCTTTTTTATGCCTTTGTGTCAGCAGTGGTGTCCTCCTGGGTCTCCTTCCCTTTTCATTTAGATGGCACAAATAGTGCGAGCTGATACTGCTGTACTCTGTGTCTGCAGATCAGCTTAAATTTGTTAGGAAGTTAATCTGGGTTCTATATCCACTGTTTGAACAACCCTTTGTTGTAATTTTCCTCTTCCATCCACGTCCAGGGAGGTTAGCTACAGTGCCATGGGCTGTAAACCTCTTGATGATATTGCACACAGTGGAAGCAGGAACATTAAGGTCTCGGGAGATGGACTTGTACCCTTGAGATTGTCAGTGTTTTTCCACAATTTTTTCTCTCAAATCCACAGACAAATCTTTACACTTCATTCTTTTCTTCATGATCAGTGTCACACACAACACAAAGGTTGAATCAACTGTGGCGATCATCCTGCTTTGGCTCAGGTAGAAGATTATTGGCATGTACCAATGAGAGCTGTTGGGAGGAGGAGCCAGAGAAACTAGAAGGGAGGGGGTGAGTCAGAGTCTAGTCAGTTCAGTCAGAGACAGACTTTTGAGGGGGATAGTTTGGGTTTGAGGTAGAGAGAGAATTTAAGGAGTGAATAGTCAGAGTGTTATCTGTATTAGTTAAGAGAAAAGGTTAAAGGAAACTACTGAAGCTTTTTGTAACTTTAAGAATGTGTTTAGGAATTATTCCTGAAACAACCTGTAATCAATAAACCTGTTCTTATTTCAGAGTTAAGTACTGAATGGACTTCAGTCCTTCATATGAAATATAGTTGGTAAAGAGATCAACTGGTGCAGCGAGGTAAAGGGCATGTTGGGATACCTTCATGAGCTCCGTGTTTGGTGAAACAAGCAGGGGCCACAGGGTAAATGTCGTAATTGGTGTCCAGCACTGGAATACAAAGTAATCCAGTAAAGGCAAAATATAAAAGTGAATTTTCTGGAGTCGTGGTAAAGAAGTGTGTGACCTGCTAGAGCTTTTGTGGAAAAGCTTAGTGGCACGGCTTCTGAACCCAGATCTGGGGGAACTAAATATAGGCACCTCATGGAGGGGGAGGACCTCAATAAACAATTTCTATTTGGTTCTTTTAAAATGACATATGACCTGGACATCTATCATTAATAATATATATTGTTTATGAAATCAACTGGTGGTAGCTGAGGGGCACGTAACGTGAGCTCCTAGGACTTTGAAGGTAAGATATTTAAGGAGTGGCTTTATCAGTTCTTCTCCTCTAGTGAGTTTCCATGGCCAAATGGGCATTCAAATATAGGTCTCCTGAGTCTGAGTCCATCATCCTAGCCACTCCACTTCCAGTGATTTGTGTCACTGCTTACAATAGAAATGTACTAACTCTACAGTTAGGATGATCATAAGAAAATGAGGACAGGGCTCTCGTTCCTTTAACAATTGTATAAAAGAGGAAATTTCAGCATATGGAATTTCTATGGTAAGCTCTACCCGCTGAACTTCTGTTTTCCATATCAACAATGAAGGTGGAGGAGTTCTTTCTCATCTGCCCACCCGATCTACAGTAGAGAGAGAGAATGGTGGGGAAACCATTTCTGTTGGTTATGTGGCTATTCAAGGTACAGAAGCATTACTGGAAGGAAGTAGAAATCCTAAGATCATAATATGATGGGCAGGTTACTAGAGTTCATGTGACATGCCAGAAGAAATGTTGACTTACTAATGATGCCCTTCAGCCAAGGTATCTGATAAGAGAAATTAATAGTTAACCAAGACTTGTGCAGAGATTAGCATGACTGCTGCATATACTAGGCCACAACTGTTTTGGGAGACTGTAGTCCTTTTAGCCATACTTATCCACTAGGTCACTTAAGTAAAGGACCCCAGAGAACATCTCATCTCATCTAATCTAATCTAATCTAATCTAGGAGACTGTAGTCCTTTTAGCCGTACTTATCCACTAGGTAACTTAAGTAAAGGACCCCAGGGAACATCTAATTAATTAATGTTTTCATACCAGTCTCAACTCTGACTCAAGTAGCACAACACAGAAATTGCAAAGAAATGCTACTACTCACATTCCAACTTCAATTGAGTTATCACATAAATTATGGGAGGCAGCCAAAATGATTAAACTACGCAAATGAAATCCATAATGACAAAATTCCAATAACCAAATTTAAAACGTATTAGAACAAATTTACTAATTACTAGAAATTACTCATTCAGCTTCACCATAAATCTGTTTATTTTTATTTATTTTTTGCATCCCTTAAGATGCTTACAACATTAAAGAAATAAATCACACTTTTAAAGATCTCTTTATGAACATGGCATGTGATTGTGTCTACAAGATCTATTGATCAAAACTGTCTTACTGAATGTGGTTAAATGTCTAATTTAATTTGTTTCAAAATTAAACTGGCTCGGCTGCCAATAAATTAGCAGAGCAGCAAATGCTTTTGGATACATACAAGCTGTTTTTAACAAGAACCAGGCACGTACATTTAAAAGCTTGCACTTTTTGAAGAAGTGTTTGGGGATCATCAGAGGCCAGTTTAGAACAGCGCTTCTTGGACTGGCTGGTCCCTTGTTATCTAATCTAAACGATATGGGCACTTTCGCTTTGGGCTTGAGGTTGCTCAGCTGGCGTCCCCTGGGAAAGAGTGGCCTATGAAGAACTCCTTTTATTATTCATCAGGGCCCGCCCTCCCCCGTTGTGGCTCGGAACAGCTCCACCTCATCCCTCTCGGCTGGGAGCTGGGCAGACTCCCCGCTCCGCCTGTCTCTATCCAGCCGCGCCATGGCGAAGTGGGGCCGCTTTGCCGAGAAGCTGCGGCGCGGCCTGGGGTTGCAGCCAGGGGCTCCCGGCCCGCTTCTTCTCGGTTGGAGGGCTGTATCCGGCACGGCAGAAGCCGCTGCGGCCTCTCCGAGTGAGGCACGGCTGAAGGGCTTCGAAGAATTGCCCGGGCCCGGGATACTGGAGTCCACCTACTGGCTCCTCGTGAGGGGCTACTTGCTCCACACGCACCGCCTGCAGGTCGGGGAGGGGGCTCGCCTGCGTGGGTACGTCGGGAGGCGACAGGGGACGCGCCCGCGGGAAGGAGGGAGGGAGAGGGACGGGGGAGGGGGGTCCAGAGGCATGGCCCGGCCCGGCCCGGGCAGGACAACTGGCGGGCATCCAAAAGCGAGGGGGCTGCTTTGTGCCCTCGGCCTTCGACGAGGTCCCAGCCGGGCCGTTGGCAACTGACGGCCGGACCAAGAAAGGACGCATCTGTAAAACTCATCTGAGGAAAGGGAGGCTTGCTCGGGCGTTAGAACAGGACAGAGCCGAATCCCTTTTATAAATGGTGCGGGGGGGGCGTCAGGGGTGGGTTTCCAGTCTGCCGGTCCCGGCGTCTTTCCTCGATGGGTCGGTAATGGGAGCTGAAGAAGGATGCTTTCTCGTGTAGCGATCCAAGTATGTTTAGGGACCACGGAGTTGTGGTGAGGACTCTGCACATGCCCAGATTCGTTCAATCTTTTTATTTTTATTTTAATTCCTGGCTGACTGTTGACTGGTTGACCCAAAGCGGGTCAAATAAAGCCATGCCTGGCATGTGGGGGCTGCTCTCCGAGTAGGGCAGGCCATGCAGAAAATGCAACACAGGACAAGTGGGGGCATGGTGCGCTTGCTCTTGGAAGAATTACCTGTGGGGCCGACGTTTATTGATGGGAGTTCCCAGCCAAGGTGATGGATGAGCCTGAGGAAGTATTAGGCAGGGCTGCGGAGTTTCTTCAGAAGTTAGAAAGGCGTTCCTTCTGTGTAAATGATAATAGTTATGAAGCCTCAGCATCTTTTTATCCACTTGTATATCATCCAAAATACCTTTTGGAGATGAATAGTTTTAATATGGCTGTGCCGCTGGCTCTCATCCCGTTTCGATTTGTATCTCTGATTCTTCACAGGCTGAACAAGCAATGCTGCCTAACAGGGCTAGAGATATTTTGCTTCCTGTGGCAAAGCATTAAAAACCTGTTTCTACAAATCATAATGAATAGCACCTAAAATCAAGCCAATTATTCTGGTAACTGAAGCAGAACATGTCACAAATGCTTCATGGCAAAAGTACAATAACCAAGTAACCATTTGTGTGTATTACTTCTTTGGAGCAGAGATTGTCCAGGTTGTCCTATAGAATGCAGAGGGACATTGCTGGCAAAAGATAGCATATATCATATTGGCAGAGGAACAGGTAAAACAGGTAAAAATGGTTTCAACTAACCATTTGCAATCTTTTTAAAGTCTGCTGCCTAAGGCAGCTGCCTAACTCTGCCATTTGTAAAGATTATCTTGGGCTTAAATTACATGGCCAGTATTTTGAGAATACTAGAACTTGGAACGTTTTTAATACTGTATGAAGTAAATCTTGACTGTGTTGAAATCCATACAAGAATTAATCTGATCAATGCACTAATTCTCTTTGGGAAATATTCGTTAACATTCATGAATATATGTAAGAAAAGCAATGCACTGTAAAAATTTAAAATTTTCATCAATAAAACTTATTAACAGTAAAAAAAAAATCAAAAGGGGGGAAAACCCTCCATGGTCAATATCTTGTTCTGTAGCTCCACTGATCTAGTGAGAGTGGCATCACTTGCAGTGGCAGGTAGCCATTAATTCAAGAGTTCCTGCTTTGTTTTCTGATTGTGTACAACTTATGTATAATGAGATGAAATTGCACACAACCAAAAATCAAAGTGGGAACTCTTTAATTAGTGGCAATCTGCCACTGTGAGGTACTATCAGTTTCACTGCACTGGCAAACTTGTGAAACAAGATGCTGTCCTCTGAAGCTATGGCTTTCTGATGTGCAGGGGAAGGGACAGGTTCCATGTGCCCTGATGTTTTTGCACTGCAGAACCCAGCGTTCCTCACCTTTTACTAGGGTGGTTAGATCTGATGGGAGTTGGAGTACAACCACAATTGAACAGTAAAAAAAGTATTAAAGATAACACCTGAGTTTGAAACATAGAGGCTAAAAAATACTTGCATGTCAGAGATCAGCACTATGTGCTCTTCCAGTACTGATTAAAAGTAAGGTGGTACAGATACGAGGGGGTGCTGATAAGTATTGAGCCTTTCCCAGAAAAAATTGAGCTAGAAAGCTATAACTGCCCTACTGTTCTACATACAAGGAGGTGCTGATGAGTATTGAGCCTTTCCCAGAAAATATTGAGCTAGGAAGCTATAAATTGCAGGGTGTGTTGGCCAATTTGTCTGTATTCAATGGTGCAAAAATCAACCGCCTATGATTCTAACTTATCTTTCATGTTCAGGTCCAAAGTGAACATGGCAGCACCTCCAGAAAAGTTGGAACTTTGTATGCGGTCCCCAGCCTCATTTCAGAAACCTTCCACTAATGATTAGTCTGATCAGGGTAACATATTCCTCCCTTGGCCACCCAACGGATGGGGAAAGAAAAGAGATTAAAGGGGTGGCAGAGATGGAGATGAAAGAGGCTATGCAAGGAAAGGAAAATGTTTGCCAGGGCCAGGACAGGCCAGCCATGAACCCAGGCAAGGTAATCAGCTCAGGTGGTAGAACCGCTTGTCACTTGTGGTGACCACTGCCATAGCCTTGATGCAACAAGTCAACATATGATTGCCAGTTACTTTACTCACCTCTGGCACAGTGACTCAGGCACAAGGGCCCCATTAGAGCCAGGCATTCAAATACACAGGTGAGAAGTGCTCAACTATGCTATGCAGATGAGCTGGTGGTTTGGCATAGCAAAGTTCTGGTTCCTGGGCCACCACTGCTCTCTTCCTTTACATGGGGTTGGTTGTTACATGGGTGGAGCTTCTCATGTCAAGCAGTGGAAGAGTTTGTCTTGACCTTGGCTCCGTGCGTTTTTTCTCTCTGCCTTATCCACCATTGGTTCTAGCCCTGCCTTCCATTCACATGCTGCCCCCCCCATACATCCACAGACTTCCACAGGTGGGGGTGAGAAAGGTTTCCCCAGCCCTGTTCAAAAAGAATTTCACAAAGAATTAAACAACTCATGCTTTGGGGATAGTGATCAGACAGCTGGGCATTTGATCTGCCACATGTTTAACATCATGAAGACAGTGCTAAACATAGGTCTTTGTCTACAACTGACAAAGTGGCTCATAATTCCTGTTCATACTGGCTACATTGCTGTGGCAGTCATTCTCAGCTGTGGTTCCCAGCCTTTGGTCTTCCAGCTCCTTTGGACTTCAGCTCCCAGAGTCCCTGACCGTTGACCATGTTGGCTAGGGTTTCTGGGAGTTGGTGTTCAAAAACATGTAGAGGGCTAAAGGCTGTTGCTCTGTTGTGTCACCACAGCAGCTAAGCCATATTCTGCTAAACATTAAGCCAGTCTATAAAAGTGCAGGAAGCTAGACCTGCTGGGAAGGTCATGTTTTGTCCCCAAAGATAGGATAGTGCTTTGCAAGACTCAAAGGAGAGAGGAAAAGAAGATAAATTAGCAAATATAAAGACATCTGGTTTTAAGTGTCAGTTTGACTATTACCAGTGGTGTTTTTCATGGTTTACCAAAGAACTGGCTAAGATCTAACTTGTTGGGCATGAATCAAAAGTGTGGGTGTGTTTATGAGCTGCATGAACACTTGGTTTCTCAGGTAGCTTTGAGAACTTGGCCAGTAAAGAAGCTGGCATGGTACAAGAAACATCAGATGTTGTTTTGCTCTTTACAGAGTGCTTTGCCTTGGGAAATTGCCCATTCCCAAAAAACAAGAACCTGTGTAACAACTAAATAGCATTGTATGTGCTGCTGCTGCTGCTTGTGAATTGTTTTGAACTGTAGGCCAAAGTAGCTTAGCAGCTATGTAACTGTAACACATAGCTGCTGAGAGTATTTGAATTGTTTATTGTGGAGCTGTGTAAGGAATAACTAACTAAACAGCTTGTTTACATGGCTGGGCTGGAATGGGCTAAACAGGCTCACCAGGAGGTCTAGTATGCCCTTTGATATGGGCATCACATCTAAATGGCATATGAACATCATAACCCTATTTGGTCTGTTTTTTTAAGGGTATGCATGTTCAGTATGTGTATTCCAGTAATCTTTACGAGGATTGTATTAAGTATATGTATAATGATATACATACCTAATACACTGGCTAAATAGCTTGGTGAGTTAGTTTCCCATTGCAGAGCTAGAGTTCAGTTCCCCACTATGCATCCCAGAACTGCCAGGTGGTATGGCCTTGGGCAGGCTGCACAGTCCCAGGATGCCCCCCAGAAGAAGGGAACATTAAGCCACTTCTGAATACTTTCTACCTAGAAAACCCTGGAAAAGGTCACCATAACTCAGAATTGACTTGACAGCACACAGTTATTATTGGATAACCAATGTGGTGTAGTAGACAGAATGATGGACTAGGACTCAGTTCTGAATCTCTGCTCAGCCATAGAAACCCACAAGAGGTGTGGAACTGGAAGTAAAACAACTCCTTAAGTGTTTCGCTTACCTTGAAAACCCTACTAGGGTTTTGACTTGATAGCACATACAGTAATAACAACAATACCTAATACATCCTTGAGAATCCCCTGGACTGCAAGGAGAATAAAACAACTCCTTAAGTGTTTCACTTACCTTGAAAACCCTATTAGGGTTTTGACTTGATAGCACATACAGTAATAACAACAATACCTAATACATCCTTGAGAATCCCCTGGACTGCAAGGAGATCAAACCTGTCCATTCTGCAGGAAATCAACCCTGAGTGCTCACTGGAAGGCCAGATCCTGAAACTGAGGCTCCAATACTTTGGCCATCTCATGAGAAGAGAAGACTCCCTGGAAAAGACCCTGATGTTGGGAAAGTGCGAAGGCAAGAGGAGAAGGGGATGACAGCGGACGAGATGGTTGGACAGTGTCATCGAAGCGACCAACATGAATTTGACCCAACTCTGGGAGGCAGTGGAAGACAGGAGGGCCTGGCGTGCTGTGGTCCATGGGGTCACAAAGAGTCGAACATGACTAAAGGACTAAACAACAACAACAAATAC